GGATTGTTTGCTTGCTCGTTTGCAAATCTAATCACATAAATTATGTGACTTTAATGTCACGCATTGAGAATAAGTTTTTTTTGCGTAATCTTTTTGCAAATATTTGGTTTGGCAAATGAGATTGGATAAATTGGTTGTTGAGGAATTTTATGAATGAGTTGGGGTAGATTTTTTGATTCTTTGCTCATTGAAAGGTACAATTTATGACTTTGTTATGAATAAGATTGATAATTCAGTCATTAGTCTACCCTACATTACATAACTCAATGTCAAATATCTACAAACTATTCATAAGTAATTATTAAGTGTTTTTCATAGAGCTTAGCTTATTATTACAAAACATTTTTGCCATATTTATGAATCAAGATTCAATTTTCTCTAAAATTTTGATGACATCTCATGTAAAATTGTAACCCGAGTTAAAAAATAAACGGCAATAATAGCGAAAAGTTATAAGAGTCCAGTAAATACCTTGAATAGTTAAAAAAATTATGCATGCCTATGAAGAACAATATATTACGTTTCCACACATTACTTAACATCAATCCATCCAAACCCATCAAATTCTCTCAAACCCCATCAAAAAATCCATAATTCCATCTCTTAATCCTCTTCTTCCTCTCCAATAATTCTTTCCATAAAAATAAAACTTCATCAAAGCTTTTTTCCTATCATAATTTTCCCACCCAAAAAGAGAGAAAAAATTTCCCTTGAAAAACACACAAAAGCACAGTACGAAAATCAATTCACAGAAGAAAAAAAAACTCTTTCCATAAAAAATAGAAAAAATTTCATAATAATCCACAATATCACTTCCTTCCCACTATCGATAAGCGACATTCTATGAGCCTTCCGTAGAGAACAAACACATACAATACACACATAGTTTAAGAGAAATTGATGAGTCATTCTCATCGCATCATCATCATCATCATCGTCATTACTGTTATTGTTATTATGTCAGCAGCGATATAATCTCTGTTTTCTTTACTTTTATTGCTTTATGTGTACATTAGATCACATTTCTCGTATAAACATTTGAGATTCGGAATTGGAGGATCTTAAATGTCGTGATTTTTATTGAAGAGGATTAAATAAAAGGATTTGAGTGGGAATTTATTGGAACTCAAGAAGCTTTTGAGCTAAAGCTGTTAAAATTGTCAGATTTTATAATTTTATGGCATAAAGTTGATGGTTTTATGAAGATTTTTGGTAAAAGCTTTCAATTTCGTCAACTTTGACATTAAGACTCATGAAACACAATTTTATGCTGGATATAAAGGATGTGGCATGGATATTGTATGATAATGAGCTTAGTGCATTATTTCAAAACACTTGTCCATATTTAAATATTTTGTTAATTTTTTCTGAACTTTTTTGATCAAATCTAATTAAATGTACAAAAACGAACTCAAAAGCATGCGGCACTTGACAAAAACCAGCACCAAACGGTCAAAGCATCCACCAAAACCACCCAATGATAACCTATATTCTCGTTTTGATAACCTTGCTTCCTCACATATCCCAATTTTTACACACAATACACGTTTCCATGTGTAAACATTGAACGCATCCCGAACAAAAAGCCTCCCCACATCTAATTCCAAACGTATCATTCTGAGCACACATAAACACATGCTTTCATTCTCTCAATGTCGTTTTGCAATTAATCACTGTCTAAATGAATTGTTTGGAGAATTTTCATCATCTTCTTGTTTCATTTTACTGATAAGAGGAGCCATAAAAGTGAAAAAGGATTATTATTCTCTCTCATTTTTTTGGGTGAGTTTTGATGATGATAATGAAGAGGATAAAATGTGTTTGTGCTTATTTTATGAAATTTTTATGATTCAACATGAGAGAAGTTCCTTTTTTTGTGTGTTATATGGAGGATTTCGTTTAAGGGTGAAACATCTTGGAAGGAAGGAAATATGGAAAAACAAAAAGGCGATGAATTTATGAAGATTTTCTTCGGGTATAAAATTTTTGGGTACTGAAAATCACAGTTGATAGTATTTTGAAGGATATTTTTGTGATAAGGAGGAACATTAAAATTTAATTAGGATTTAAGGAGGTTTACCTTCCGAAAATATTTGTTCAAGTTTTGGAAATTTGAATATTGTCTGATTTTATGATCTTTTTGGTATTGATTTGCTTTTAAGGCTTTTTATGGTTGGTTTTTCGGGTGTTTTAGTCAACTAGCCATAAAAAACTAAGCTAGGCAGACTAATGCCTTGAGATTTAAGAATATAGTAACCATAATTGAACTATACAATTTTAATTTAAAGCAACTTTATGAGCTAAGCGCATTATTCCATAACATACTACCATATTTAAGAATTTTGTTCAATTTTTTCAAACTTTTTTGATCGAATCTGATCAACAACAGCCAAATGTCCCCAAAAAAACACAGCACATCAAAAATTACTCATCAGCACGTGAGAAAAATCATACATTTTATAAGGTTACCCTTAATTTTCCCCTCAAGCTATACATTTCACTTGACTTTATCAACACATTCAATTTACAAAATAAATCCCAAAAAAAAAACACTTTTGATGAACTTAATCACAATTTTCATCACAAAATCGTTCACTTTATGTATCAGCAAATGCTGAACCGACAAAGCCACAAGCCATTTCACTCGTCCTTTCACAACCACCCTGCCTGCCTCAGTTCTGTCACAGTAAACCCAATAATATGTCAATCAAGTCATTTTAAATGACAAAAATATACAGAGACTGATTTGAAAGTCTTCTTATATATTCCACGAAGAAAGTACTAAGAAACGCTCTGCTGACTATATCTTCGAGCCGAGTCTTTATACCCCAAAAACTTTATTTTTCCATGTCAATTAAATTCCGAAAATTAATTGAGAAACATCTCACGATGTTTTAATTAATCACAAAATGAAATTTTCTTGCTTTTTTCTGTCGTCATTGACTATGTTTTTTTTCTGCTGATGATGTTGATGCTGCCTTACATTGACAATAAAATTAAATACAATGAACATTAGCTAATGACAACAATCAAGAAAGTTTGTGTATTTGAGAGATTTTTTAAGACATAAAATAGATGTAAAGACAATAAGCTTTATGATTATTAGTAAAGTTTTTTTTTTCTCTCTTTCTGATGGAGATTTTGAGGCGGAATGAAATTAGAAGGATTTTTATTCTGTGGGGGTCCTGTTGGGTGGGCTGAAAAAAAAGTTTTGCTTTTTGAGTGTGGTAGATGGTGATGAAGATTAAAGAGATTGAAAATGTACATAATAACAGTATTTTAGTCATGATTTTGGATATTATGTAGCTAAAGTTCCAATTCTGCAGTTTCAAATGGGAATTAAACAAATTATGTAGCACATAAGTCTAATTTGAGGTTATTGCTTGTAAAAGTGGTCAAAATTGTATCTTAATGAATACTTTTGAATGTTTGGACCCAAACAAGCTGTTTATAAGCACAACAAAACAAATTTGTGTTAGAGGTTAGATCATTATTACAAAACACATGTACATATATAAAAAAAATTATTATTAATTTGAAATTTTTTTGATTGATTCCGAAAAAAGAGCAAAAATGTGACACAGAAATATATGCCACATCACAATTTTCTGTAAAACATGCCTTGATTTCAAGCCAAAGTTCAAGAATATTTAACTATTTCCAGGAATTTACAATCTTGGTCTTTTAATCAAGCCAGTCAACCCTAAAACAACATTATCTTCATCCCTTTAAGCATTTGAAGTCACATTTCCCATAAAATCTCAAAAACATCTCAAAAATCACTCATCCAATAAACGTTCTTCAAATTTTTTACTCACAAAAGACGGAAATATACCCATCGATGCTTTTATTTCACAGAAAAGTTTCCTAACGTCACATGAAATAAAAGATGCTCAGAGCTTTACACGTAAAAAGCAGAGCTTATATCGCCTGAGGAAGAAGAAAAACGAAAGAAAAACAGAATTTTTTTTTTATTTTCAACTTCGCTTATTAAATTTTCATTTTTTTCTTTCCTCTCAGCATTGTTTTACTTCTCACTCGTTCTATTTACATTTCGCATTCGAAAAATTTGTGTGCTTTTTGCGTTTTGAGCTTTTTTATGTGCGTTTTATGATGATAATTTTCTTTTGTTGTGTATGGAGGGGATTTCGTGGAAGGATCGGCTGTTGTGGGATTTAGGAGGGAGAATTGGGAATTAAGAATTGAATTGGTTTTAGTTATGACTATATTATTTCAAGTTATTCAATTTTAAATGAAAGAGAAGTAAAATTTTGAGATGGTTAACACATTATTACATAACACATCCTCCATATTTAAAATTTTTGTTCAACTTTTTTCAAAGTTTTTGATGAAGTCTCTTTAAATGAGTCTCAATGTTTCGAAAAACACACAGCACGTCATAATTGAGTCAACACACCTCTCACGATTCTCTTTCTGAATTCTCATATCTCCCCAATTGTTTGCTGATTTCATCGTCACTTGCTTCAATTGACATTGAAAGTCAGATTGAATGTCGGAAATGTAAATATAAAAGAAAATGAAATTTCAATTTCATTTTTCAAAAATAATTCAAAAGAAATTGACAAAAATGAAGACAAAAAGCAAAACGAAGAAATGAAGCGAAATTTTTGAGGTGAAAAATGTTTTGAGCGATAAAATCGGAAAGCTAAAAAATAAGAAAAAAAAGTTTGTAAAGTGAAAGGGAAAATATTTGAAAAATTTTCTTGTTTATTTTCCTGATGATTGATGACAAAGTTTCTTTCGTGAAAATCAAAAATTTTTGATGGTTTTCTTTTTTTATACATTGATTTTCGCTTGAATTTTTCTTTATTTTTTTGGTGGAAATTTTTCAATCAAGCAATAAAAAAGTTTGATGAAAAAAGTTTTGTTTTTGTGAAAATGGAGGATTTAAAGATGCATTTAATGAATGAAAGTTAAGAGAATTAGGTTTCAAGTAAAGGATTAATGCGCACAGACTCGACATGGAGCTCAGTTGGACGATGGTTTATTTAATTAATTCAAATATGCGATTTTGAAGTCATAATATCAAAAATATTCGAGATATCCCTTAATATCCCTAAATATCCCTTATTATCCCCTAAAATATCCACAGTAAACTCTTTCAAACAATTAAAATAATCAACCCAAAATTTTTCTTATCAATTCCAGATCTACATAGGAGCAGTGAACAATCTCTACCAACTCACCCCCGATCTAGAAGTAAAAATTCGCGAAAAAACGGGTCCACGACCAGATTCACCGGAATGTTCACCAATCGAATGTCCACCAAATGTGAATCTCAGGCCGACAGATAACACCAATAAAGTTCTTCTACTCGATTACCAATCATCTCATCTGATCGTTTGTGGGACACTATCACAAGGCACATGTCATGTGAGATCAATGCAAAATATTTCTAATGTTGAACAGGAGATACAGGATGCAGTTGTGGCTAATAATGATGAGGCGTCAACTTATGCTTTTATTGCAGCGGGACCACCTGGTGAGTTTATCGGATTTTTTTGGGGGAGTTGAATTGAAAATGTTAAAAGGGATTTTGAGGTTAGGTTTTGGAAAAATTTTAATGTGTCTTGAAGACAAGAGTTTTGCGGTTTTGTGGGTTTAATATTATTCCTAAAAAGTATGGAGCTCAACTTATTGCTTTAGGTCGAAAAGCTTTTTAGTAAATCACTTTTTGTTTCAAATATTCGGGTAGAGACTTTAAAGTCTTCCCCTGAATATGACTTCCATTTTTGGATTCACAATAATCTTTAGCAGTGAATCTTAGTCTCATTATCTAAATGGTCAGCAAATTAAATTTAAAATAAAAAAACTTCAATTTTCTTACTTTGCATGCATATATTTATATGTAAACACTTAAGTCTCTCCCCAATTATGCCAAGACCATTTCAAACCCAATTACCACATAACACATGCGACTTTTAAACTTTTCTAACCCAAAATAAACCACAATACCCTGTTACATGCGAAATAGAATACAAAAATAAATCCAAAAAGTCACTCAACTTTCAACAATTCCATTCAAATATTTACCCACAAAAGCTTACATTAACTTTATTGACTAATTCATATCTATTGTAACATTATTTCTAGCCCCACCAATGACATCAGTGATGTACGTGGGCGTAACATATATCAACAATTCACCATATCGTGGAGAAATCCCAGCCGTAGCAAGTCGTAGTCTCCAAAAAGATCGTATGTTTCAAATCGCCATATCACATGTAACCACCGGTACGCGAATGTTCATCAACACGGCATCACGCGATACATATCCAGTTAAATATGTCTATGGATTCTCATCCGAGAAATTTTCCTACTTTCTCACATACCAATTAAGACAGCCGGGTGGTAATGAGTGGATAAGTAAGCTCGTGAGATTGTGCCAGGAGGATAGTAATTATTATTCATATACTGAGATTCCAATTGAATGTATTAGTGAGGACGGTACGAAATATAATAGCATACAAGCGGCATTTCTTGGTCGTGCTGGACAGGACTTGGCTGAAAGTTTAAATATTGAGACCAATAATGATGTGCTGTATGCATTGTTTAGTCAATCAAATGGACACACGCCATCAAATCGTAGTGCATTGTGCGTTTATTCACTTAAATCAATTCGTCGGAAATTTATGCAAAATATTAAGGCATGCTTTAATGGTGAAGGATCACGTGGACTTGACTTTATATCACCGTCGATGAAATGTGTAGCAACACGTCTGCAGTCATTGAGTGAGGACTTTTGTGGACTTGATGTGAATTCGCCTCTTGGTGGTGAGATGCCAGTGACAGCAGCTGCAGCAGCAACTTTTAATACTGAAATAACAGCGATAGCAGCTACAACGACATCAAGTTTTACAGTTGTATTCATTGGAACGTCAAAAGGACATTTGAAGAAGTTGACTGTCGAGAATGCAAACACGGCCGTTGAATATGCAGATATTGTCATTGATGAGGGATCATCCATCAACCCAGACATGTTTTTTGATAAAAAGGATATGAATGTTTATGTCATGAGCGAGAAGAAGATCAGTAAAGTTCGCGTACATGAATGTAGCGTTCATAAGACATGCGGTGAATGTTTATCAGCCCGTGACTCATATTGTGGATGGTGTTCATCTGAAAATAAATGTACCCTCCGCTCCAACTGTCAGGACGATGGAAATGATCCATTATATTGGGTCAATTATAAGAATGGAAAGTGTACATTCATCACGTCCGTTACACCACATCAATTACAGAGGACAACGGCGAGAAATCTTGAACTTGTCATTGATCATTTGCCAAATTTGAAGGAACATTTAGTCTGTGCTTTTTCGACGAAGGAAAAGACAATTGTTACTAATGCGACGAGAAATGGAAATATTGTCAATTGTACGACACCGAGGACGGATTTGTTGCCGCAAATTGAGCCTGGAAAACGTGAGTTGAATTTTTAAGAATTTTATGAGATTTATGGTTCAAATAATTTTGAGAAATTGACTAATTTTCAGGATGAAAGACAAAGTTTCAATTTTTATTAGAAAAACTTGTTGAACTTTAAGGTTATGAATAGTTTTTTTTACTTACGTAAATTATTCCAGTTACGTCAATTAACGTTCGTAATTTATTCCAGTTACGTCAATTAATGCACGTAATTTATTCCAGTTACGTCAACTAACTTACGTAATTTATTCCAGTTACGTCAATTAACGTACGTAATTTATTCCAGTTATGACAATTAACGTACGTAATTTATTCCAGTTACGTCAATTAACGCACGTAATTTATTCCAGTTACGTCAACTAACGTACGTAATTTATTCCAGTTACGTTATTTTACGTACGTAATTTATTCCAGTTACGGTATTTTACGTACGTAATTTATTCCAGTTACGTCAGTTCATACTTAAAACATTCCAGTTGTGTATTTTTTTAAACCAAAAGCACCAAAAATTCACCAAATTCAAGCATCTCATCTAATTTGTTTCGATTCCTAAACAACAAAAGCTCTCAAGAACTCAAACAATTTAACTGAAAATCTACCCAAAAATAATCTACATCGGTGAAATGTCGAAAATTCATCACAATAAAAAGCATCCCCCATCAAAACTCAAAAATCTTAAATAATTTTAACCCAAAAAATATTTTTGACATTTTTCTGTTAAAAATTACCTTCATATTAACCCGAAATCTACAAGAAATGTCAGAGCATTTTCATGATTAAATGTCAAAACATCCCACCGATTCCCGGTGGAGACACCTCCTCCTGCCTGCCTCCATCAGAAACAATCTTCAGATAATTTTTCACCACAAAATTGAGTGACAAACACCTTCGAATACAAAAGTGTGGCATGAAAAATAAGACCAAAAAAACAAGAATTCAAATTTTTTACCATTTTTCCACTTCAAAAAATTGCCTTGAGAAATTAAAATTTCATGAGAATGTCAAGAGAAATTCATTTTTTTTTTTTTCGTGTGTACATTTACGTATGTTTGAGGAACAAACGCGTGTCATGGCATGTCACGTCACTCTCTACCCATAAATTTACATTTCATGTGTGTGTATTTGTGTATTCGAGTGTGTGTAGAAGTCACTTGAGATAAAGAAGTGCTACTTTTCTTTCTCTAATTTTTCATCTGATGCTTTGTCATGTGAATCGCTCGAGAATGTTCTGAGTGGGGGAGATGGGGGGTTGATTTTGGCAGTTGAAGAAGCTTTTGTGTATCCAACAAACACAAACAAGAATTATCTTCGTGTGAAAATTTAATTGCTTGCCATATTTTATGAGTTTGGTGCTTTAATTCTGGCTGAGGTGTCAACATTGTATTTTTTATGGCTACAAGCTTTGAATCTGCCGGACAAGCTTTAAATCTGACTGACTAGCTTCACCCATGGGGAGGGGCATCACTTATCAACAATAGAACCAAAGAATGAAAAAACTGCAAACAAAGTCACAAAAAAAATAAATCATTAAAACTTTAAACGACACAAAAGTCACAGATAACATTCACTCCTTTTTTTTGTCCTGGACCAATTCAACACTTTGTCATCGAACAAGCACTCGAACGAATAATGCCAAGTTTATCTTTTTCACTCATTTTGATTTATTTACTTCCTGATGCTCTTGAGCAAAAAAATAAAAATAACTAAACGGAAAGAACGGATCGGAAGTTATAGTGACTTGTTTTTCTATCTTATTCTGTGAATACGTGGGTGAAGTTGGCTGAGATGGAATGTGCTGCGGAATACACGAGGCAGTTTAGGAGAAATTATTCTTGGGTTGGAAGTTGATTGTGAGATTAAACTGATAATATTGTTATGAATTGTTAAAATTAGATAAAGTTTGGAAGAACCACGATAATCTGTGCTAAGAAGAATTAAAATTTGTGATTTTATTAAACTGACTTGTGTTTGGCAGATTTATGAGAGTAAAATTAGAAAAAAAATCCGATTTATTTGCTTGCTCAAGTTTCTTCCAGTTATGTTATTTTGCGTGCGTAAAATATTCCAGTTACGTTATTTTACGTACTTATAACATTCCAGTTTCGTTATTTTACGTACCTAAACTATTCCAGTTATGTCATTTTACGTACGTAAATTATTCCAGTTACGTTATTCACACAAACTTAATCAATTTCAACAAAAAAGTCAGTATAACTTCACCCAAGTCTTCCATTAGACTTCCTAAAACTTTATTATCCTTCAAAAAAAATTCCCAGATAAAAAACTCTAGGACTTATGGAAAGAATAACACAACGAAAATGAGGAAAAAATGTCGAGATTCTTTATTTTTATTTCCATCAGATAATTTTCTTTTCAACAATTTCAACTCAACAATTTTTTTTTTCGTCAGAACTGAAACTTTGTTCTCATCCTTAACTTACTTTTTATATATCCTTAAATTCTTAAAGATTCTTGAAATAGCCCCAACTGGTGCTCAATAAATAAAAGTAACAAAAAAAAATCTTTTTTCTCATTGCAGATCACTTTACAGCACGTTTGAGTGTGAAGACAGCAAGCGGTCCCGACCTTGTATTTACAAATTTCACTTTCTTTGACTGTTCGACACATCTCTCATGCACCCGCTGCGTATCATCCTTATTTCCATGCGATTGGTGTGTTGACACGCATCGATGTACGCATGATACAGCTGAGAATTGCCGTAATGATATTATGGTGAATGGTGTGAATCGGATGGGACCCTCGTATCGTTCTGGACCCGCATTTTGTCCTGCTATTAATGTAACAGATCTTGGAACTGAAATTCTCGTACCTGCTGGTGTTAAACGGTCAGTAAAGGTCCGCGTGCACGTCATTGGACATTCAATTGTTCAGACGCGTTACGTTTGTCAATTCAACATTGAAGGACGTGTGTCGAGTGTTAATGCACAACTTCTTGGCGACACAATCTATTGTGATTCAATGGAATTTATGTATACATCGAAACCTGCTCATATCACAGCACCATTTGCAGTTATTTGGGATGGTGCGAAGCCTTTGGATAATCCGCATAATATTCATGTTGTGATTTATAGGTAAGATGAGCAACAGAAACTTTGTTTTTTATTAATATTGGAGAGTGTTTGTGAATAAATTGGCACTTAAGAAGCTCGACAGGAAGAGATAAAGTATTGGAATGGATGTTGAAATTGACATGGAAGTGTTTTAATGGGCAAGAAGCTTGAATTTATTGTGTAGATGTCAACTAAGCTTCTTTCGGGGGGCTTGAATCTTAAAAATTGGTTTTTGAGAGTCAGGAGTCGATGTCTTAGTTGTATCTTAGGATATGATCTAGGCTAAGGCACTGTGTTTCCCAAGCTTCATGCTTCTTACAAATCCCACCAACAACACAAATCTCCTCCAAAAATCTTAAATTCCACTTAATAATCACAAAATTTCCTCTCATTTTAGATGTCGTGACATGGCCGACAGCTGTGGTATGTGCTTAGCACTTCCAGCAAAATATGGATGCGGTTGGTGTTCATCATCAAATACTTGTGAGGTTGAAGAGCAATGCAAAGGATCTGAAGGAACTGTCGACTGGCTTAATCGTCTACAAACTTGTCCTAATCCAGAAATTCATAGCTTCACGCCAAAGACTGGACCATGGGAAGGTGGCACTAATATTACAATTACTGGAATTAATTTGGGAAAGAACTTTAGTGACATTTATTCGGGTGTGAAAATTGCTGGAATTGATTGTTTGCCATACCGTGAATTGTATTTAGACACAAGACAAATTGTTTGTAGAGTCGAGGGACCAGGAACAATGGCATATCGAGCTGGTAAAATTGTTGTTCAAGTTCAAGACTTTCGTGGTGAATCGCGCGGTGATTTCGAGTTTGTTGATCCAGTCATTCACGATTTTGAACCCAAATTCGGTCCAATGAGTGGCGGTACTCGTATCCATATCCGTGGTAATCATCTCAATGCTGGCAGTCTCATTCGTGCATCAATAAATGGCCTACGATGTGAAATCCTCTCGACCGATGTCAAGGACGCTTTTTGTCGTACATCACCGTCATTACAGCACACAAAAGGCTTCCTCAAAATGGAATTTGACTCCGGCGAACGTCAACTGAACAGCGTACAATTTGAATATGTAAATGATCCAACAATATCTGTCGCCACGAGTGGCATCAACAATGAATTATTCCCAAAAGGCATACCGTCAGGTGGTATAAAGATAACTGTCATTGGAAAGAACTTTAAGTCAATTCAAATGCCAAGTATGTACGTGTATTATCGTGACCGAATGTTCAACTCACCGTGTGTCATTATCAGCGACATCGAGATGCATTGTGACTCGCCAATGATTGAGATGGATGTCCCGAACATTATGAATGGCGATAGTCCACAGACATTGCAATTGAGCGATACACAAAGATATAAGAGAAGCTACGGATCACCATATACATTGAGATTAAGTGACTTTAGTCCATTATCAGATTCATATGCATTAGCATTAAGTGCTGAGCCATTAGCTGGTGATATTCTCGGAAAATGGCTGACTGGTGATCATCCATTGCATCTTGAGTACGGATTCCAAATGGATGATGTCATAGCTACACAGAATCTCAGTAAAACTAATCAGCCATTCCAACTCTATCCAGATCCAATTTATTATAAGTTTAATGAGAAAAAGTATTACAATAGTGAATATTTAACAATTAATGGAAAGAACCTCGACCGTGCATGTAAAGAAACAGACGTTACAGTCACAATTGGAAGTCAAATCTGCAACATAACATCATTATCAAGACAGCAGCTCACCTGTAAGCCACCAGCTGATGGAATCGATGATATGCAAGTCATTGTCAAAATTGGACCAACTTTAGAATTTGATATTGGAATATTAAGCTACGCACAGCCAACATTACTGAATAATTTAGGAAGACATACACTAATTATGATAACTGTAGCAATTATCATCGTCATTGTCTTCATAATCGGACTACTCATTGCCTACAAGAAGAAAACAAGTGAATCGAATCGAGTGCTTAAGAATATGCAGGAACAAATGGATATACTTGAATTGCGTGTCGCTGCTGAGTGTAAAGAAGCATTTGCTGAATTACAGACGGAAATGACTGATTTAACCGGTGATTTGACATCCGGCGGTATTCCGTTCTTAAATTATCAGAAATATGCTATGAATATACTATTTCCAAATGTACAAGATCATGATAGATTATTGCAAGAGCGAATTGAGTTGGCGAGAAAGGAGAAGGGATTGAGACTGTTTGGACAGCTCATAATGAATAAGACGTTCTTGTTGCTGTTTATTAGGACATTAGAAAGCAATAGGTAAGTTGATGTGCTTTTACTTTTGGTTTATGAGGAGGATGGGAGGGGTTTTGTATCAAATTGGGAACTAAACTGATGAATAGTGCTTAGTTTGGGTTTCTTGAGTTTTGAACTGGTAAACAGGGTCTAAGATGGGTCTCTTGAAGCTTAACATGGTCGCCAGAAGCTATTGTTTATCTCTTGAGTCTTATTTCGGTCTCCAGTGTGTCACTTTAGGCTTGGTTTGGTTATCAATGACTAGCTTGAGTATCATTGAGTCTTCTTGTTGGTAGCTACACCTTAATATAGATAACTAGAGTCCCTTTGCCCCACACTTGTCTGCTTTAACCTAAAACACCAAGATTTGTTGTTCAGAATACTTTTAATAAGTTAAAGTTGATACCCGTCTAAATAAGTCGACACCAACAACATCTCCTTCATCCAATCTAATCAAACAAGAACAGAATAAAAAAAAAAAACGTTCAAATCCCCACGACAATAACCAAGTAACTAATCAAACAAGAAACTTTTCTCATCACATTTATTCTTTCTTTCTGATATTTTTAGATATTTCTCAATGCGTGAGCGCGTCAACGTAGCATCCTTAATCATGATAACACTCCAATCAAAACTCGAATATTGTACAGACATCCTCAAGACACTTTTAGCTGAATTAATTGAAAAATGCATTGATGGAAAGTCACATCCGAAACTTTTACTTCGACGAACGGAATCTGTTGCTGAGAAGATGTTGAGCGCATGGTTTACATTCCTCTTACATAAATTTCTCAAAGAGTGTGCTGGTGAGCCACTTTATATGCTTTTCCAGGCGCTAAAGTCACAAGTTGATAAGGGACCAGTCGATGCTGTTACACATGAGGCTCGATATTCGTTGAGTGAAGAGAAATTAATTCGTCAGCTGATTGAGTATAAGCAGATGTCTATTTATGCTTCGATAGCACAACCGCCAATATTTTGTAATCAATTGGATAATATGACATGTGAAAATGTTCCTGTGAAGGTTCTGGATTGCGATACTATCTCACAGGTAAGATTTTTTTGGTTTAACCTCAAAATTGTCCAATTTAACCTCAAAATTGATCAACTTAACCTCAAAATAGTCCAACATAACATCAAAATTGTCATCATAACCTCAAAATTGTCCAACTTGACATCAATATTGTCCAACATAACCTCAAACTTGTCTAATTTAACCTCAAAATTCATCAACTTAACCTCAAAATTGTCATCATTACCACAAAATTCTCCATGTTAACCTTATTATTGTTCAACTTAACCTCAAAATATTCCAATATAACCTTAAAATTGTCCAATTTAACCTAAAATGGTCATCATAACCTCAAAATTGTCATAATAACTTCAAAATTGTCAGCATAACCTCAAAATTGTCCAACTTAACCTTAAAATTGTTCAACTTAACCTCAAAATAGTCCAACATAACCTCAAACTTGTCCAATTTAACCTCAAAATTGATCAACTTAACCTCAAAATAGTCCAATATAACCTCAAAATTGTCCGATTTAACCTCATAATTGTCTATCCTAACCTCAAATTGTCCAATCTAACCTCAATATTTTAACCTAAAAATTGTTCAACTTTACCTAATATTAGTCCAATCTTTGGCACTCTAACCTCAAAATGAAAATTCTAATATCAACATTTTGTCTCAATTTCAGGTCAAAGAAAAGATTCTCGACACAATTTACCGCGCCTGTCCCTACAGTCAACGTCCAAAACGCGACGAAGTCGACCTCGAATGGAGAACTGGAAGTTCAGGTCGCGTTATACTTTATGATGAAGACTCAACGTCAAAGAATGACAATGAATGGAAGAAATTAAATACTCTATATCACTATCGTGTGCCAGATGGTGCATTCCTTACGCTTGTTAGTAAACAGCAATCAAGTAACTACAATCTGTCCATATTGAGTGAGAAAAATGAAAAATCAGCGTACAAATATGAAACGCTCAATTCATCAAAATATAATTCAACATCACCGCCATTTAGTCGCGCTGGATCGCCACTCAATTATGATTCAACCGAGAATGGTGTTAAGTATTGGCATTTAGTAAAGCATCATGACTCGGAGCAGAAGGAGGGAGAGAGGGCTGATAAGCTTGTTAGTGAAATTTATCTTACTAGGTTACTGGCAACTAAGGGTGAGTAAAATTCATGACTTTTTTGTATTATAACCTCAAACTTACATTTCTAATCTGATTTCAATTTCAGGTGCCGTACAAAAATTCGTTGATGACCTGATTGAGACAATCTTTAGTACAGCACATCGCGGCTCCGCCCTACCACTCGCAATTAAGTATATCTTTGATTTTCTTGACGATCAAGCCATGTTGCATGGCATCACCGATCCACAAGTTGTACATACATGGAAATCTAACTCATTGCCATTAAGGTAAGTTCCTCATTAGATCCTTTACTAGCTATAGACCTGGCTACAGTATAGACACTAAACTTTGCATTACTATAAGAAAATATTAACAAAATCCTTTAAAAATTTCAGATTCTGGGTGAATTTAATTAAAAATCCGAATTTCGTATTTGATGTACACAAGTCAAATATCGTTGACTCTTGTTTATCGGTAGTTGCACAGACATTCATGGACTCATGTTCAACATCAGACCATCGATTAGGTAAGTCACAAATTGTCTTTGATACTTTCAAGTCCTAATCTCTTTAATAATTCTACAAAAACAGGAAAAGACTCACCAAGCTCAAAGCTACTATACGCCAAAGATATTCCATGTTACCGAGAGTGGGTGGAACGATATTATTGTGATATCAGAGATATGCCAGCAATTTCAGATCAAGACATGAATGCCATGCTCAATGAGGAGTCGAGAGTAAGTCATATTCAAAAATTTTACTTTCGACATTAAGAAATTTTACATTCGAAATTTGAAATTTAAAAATTTCACTTTCGAAATTTGAAATTCAAAAGTTTTAGTTTCAAAAATAAAAATTTCACTTTCGAAAATAAAAATTTCACTTTCGAAAATAAAAATTTCAATTTCAGAAATAAAAATTTCACTTTCGAAAATAAAAATTTCAATTTCGGAAATAAAAATTTCACTTTCGAAAATAAAAATTTCACTTTCGAAAATAAAAAATTCATTTTCGAAATTAGAAATTTCACTTTCGAAAATAAAAGTTTCACTTTCGAAAATAAAAATTTTTATCTTTCGAAAATAAAAATTTTTCATTTTCGAAATTCAAAAATTTAACATCAACAATTAATTTCTAATCTCAATTTAACCTTCCATTTTAGCTTCACACAGTTGAATTTAACACAAACAACGCCCTTCACGAGCTATATTTGTACGCCGTAAAATACAACGAGCAACTATCCGTGACGCTCTTTGAGGATGAGTTCTCAAAGAAGCAACGTCTACCATCAAAACTTAGTCAAATTCATAGCATCATGTCGTGTGAATAGCAAGCAAGGGAATATTACAATGGTTATGCTTAGAAAATATGAAATTTTTTTATATCTCATTCAAACAAAAGAAGAAAAAAAAGTGTTTGCCATTTTTTTATATAAGAAACAAACAAAAAAAAATTAAAGAAAAAAGGAAACAAAAATTATCATTTCGCTGTTATCGCTAAATAAGCTAAATTATAAAAGTAAAAATAATGAAAAAGTGTGTAAGATGAAAAATGAAATTCCATAAATTAAATGTGAAACTATAAAAAAAATTATGAAAAATAAAAAAAATGCGAATGAATTTTTAAATTCTAAGAAATAAAAAGTTATGAAATGCTGCTTCATGAAACAAAAAATAAAATAAAATAAAGAAACAAATTTTCCATATCTAAACATGTAAACAATGAATTTTGGCCAATTTATTGAGAATGAGGATCATTTAAGATGTCAAATTTGATAGGAAATTTTAGCAAAAAGCTGTGGTTGTGAGGGGAAAATTGAGGAACAAATGAGGATGATTGGATAATGCTTAATAATCCTGAGAAGCTTTCCCTACTGGAAGTTTTAAGAGCTTTTCCACCTGGAAGTTCAAAAAATTTAAATCCTGGATGTTGAGTAATTTTTCCCTAATTTTCCTCCTTTACCTCAAAACTTCGCTACTATTCAAAGCTAATTCCACAACCTAATATGATAAAATCCCGAAAAAGTAAGGGCACAAGTAGGAATGCTGAGCTGGATTGTCTGGTTCTTGATATCTTGTCTTTTAGAGGAATCTATAGCCATCTCTTTCTAATATACTCAAATATGTCTTTTTGAATGAATAACTTGAAATTGAAGGATTTTCAAATGAGAAATTGAAGATTTAAAGAGAAAAAACCATCGTTGTGGTAAGATTAGGAAGAGATGGGTATGCTTTCAGCTTATGTGATGTGTGCTGAAGAACTGAAGTTGAAAAGAGAACTGTCTGAATGAGTCATATTAGGACAATGGGAGAGCTAATATGGTCATCTAGGGATTGATTTAGTCCTCTCGGGACTGAATTTGATCCTCTCGAGACTGAATTTGATCCTCTTCGGACTGAATTTGATCCTCTCGGGAATCAATTTGATTCTCTTGCGACTGAATCTGATCCTCTCGGGGATTAAATTCGATCCTCTTGAGACTGAATTTAAACCTCTCAGGACTGAATTTGATCCTCTCGAGACTGAATTTGCTCCTCTTGGGACTTAATTTGATTCTCTTCGGACTGAATTTGATCCTCTTGGGACTGAATTTGATCCTCTCGGGAATCAATTTGATTCTCTTGCGACTGAATCTGATCCTCTCGGGATTAAATTCGATCCTCTTGAGACTGAATTTAAACCTCTCAGGACTGAATTTGATCCTCTCGAGACTGAATTTGCTCCTCTTGGGACTTAATTTGATTCTCTTGGGACTGAATTTGATCCTCTTGGGACAGAATTTGATCCTCTTGAGACTGAATTTAAACCTCTCAGGACTGAATTTGATCCTCTCGAGACTGAATTTGCTCCTCTTGGGACTTAATTTGATTCTCTTGGGACTGAATTTGATCCTCTTGGGACAGAATTTGATCCTCTTGAGACTGAATTTAAACCTCTCAGGACTGAACTTGATCCTCTCGAGACTGAATTTGCTCCTCTTGGGACTTAATTTGATTCTCTCGGGACTAAATTTGATCCTTTCGGGACTAAATTTGATCCTCACGGGACTGAATTTGATCCTCTCGGGACTGAACTTGATCCTCTCGATATTAAATTTGATCCTCTTGGGACTGATTTTGATCCTCTTGGGACTGAATTTGATCCTCACGGGACTGAATTTGATCTCCCTGGAGATGATCAAAACCAATTATGACTATATTGACCTTAAAGAACTCACAAAATAATGAATAAGATCACAAAAACCACTCAGATCCAGCTCAAATTCCCAAAAAAGAATCCACAAACAAAACAATTTAGAAAACACTGAATTAAAAAACAATGTAAAATATCGAAAAAAATGAATTTATATAAGAAAAAAAATAATGAAAGTGTCTGTCTAAAAAATAAATAAAGAGTAAAAAATAAACAATAATAATTATAATAATTACCTTTAAAATTAAACAATCGTTGTGTTTAAATGTGAATGTTGTATAAAAAATATATCAACGAATTGCTGATCGTCTAAATGTCTTTTCCAACTCATTCTCATTCAACTTTTTTTTAAATTCGATAATAATTTTGGACTTTTAAAAATGCCAAGTTTTTGAGTTTTATGCGAGATATTTTTTCAAAATTAGTTTTAATTTATTTTAAAACAAATTTTCGCATCTAAAAAACTCATTTTTAAAATTAGATTTGAGGAATAATGAAAAAAATATTGTAAAAATCTATTTTTGTACTACTCATTTGGATCAATTTAGGATGAAAAAAATTATGACAAAATGCATCATAAAATCCCCCAAAAAAAAATTCAATTTTCCCGCCAAAAAAAACTTGTTTAGCTTAATAAAAATTCGTTCCATAGCAAAACATACACAAATGGTATTAGAAAAATGTGAAATTTTAAAGCAAGTGTATTTTAACTTAATGCAGCTTCTAGCGTGGAAGTTCAAAAAATAACTCAAAAGATATTAAAAAGCAAAGCATTTTCCGTCTTATGAAAAAAACAATTTTTCGTCTGTGTTTTTAAAAAAAAAAAATAATTTTAAAAGTTTTTTTCTCGCTAAAATTTTGTTGTTTTTAAAAAGTAAAAAAAAATAAGATTTTTTGCTCATCGTTGATGAAGAAAATAAAATTTGCTAAAACTATGAAAAAAAAACTTTTTGTCAAGACTGAAAAATTCATTCAATTTTTTTATTAAAATAATTTTTAACTTCAATCGTGAATAATTTTTGAATATTTAAAAAAATAGCAATTGAAAAAATAATTAAAGCCAGTGACGCGTGGAAGTTCAAAGTTTCAGGTTTGATTGATTTTGGAGAATTTAAAATAGTTTCAAAATTTTGATATTTTTTGATTTTTTGAAAATTTTGAAAACTTTTTGATCTTTTTGAAATTATTTAAAAAGTTTTGTGGAATTTTCAAACAAAAAAGTTTTAAAATTCACCAGAAACATTCAAACCTCAAGCATTCCAATTCAGAACATGAAAAACCTTACGAAACAGCCCACAAAACCGCGTGGAAGTTTATCAAGAATATTCGTTAATTAAAACAGTGCAGGTTGTAGCGTAATTAAATTATATGAAAGCTTTTGACGTTTCTTAATCGTTAAGAATTGATGGATGTGACAAAAAAACCTTAAATTTAACCGATTTTCATGCCAATTCGCGTGGAAGTTCCATAAAAAAAATTGAAACTAAAAAAGATAGAAAAACTCATGGAATATTTCAAAAGTGTTATTTTAAATTGAAGCAAATTTTAATATTTTTTTTTGTGTAAAATAATTTGTGTAAATTTTTATTTTATAGTTTTTTTTTAAACAAACTTGATAAGCTTTATGTTAACTTTATAATGACTTCTTTCTGAAATATCTTCCGCTAAAGGGTGGAGTTTGTGTAGAAAATTGAAGATTTTTTGAGGTTAGGAACTTGAACTAAAACATAAAAGCTCACGATTTGAACTTTAATAAATCCAAAAACTATTAAAAAGCTAATCTGAGTTCCAAAAATTTTTTTTGCAGTTAAAAAAGCACCAAAAAAATCTAACCTCAAAAATTTCAATTTTTTAAAATCCCAACCCATAATTACTTCCATGGCTCTATTTAAGTCTTATTTTTTGTGGATAAATTTTCAAATTTTTAAAAAAAATTAAAAAGTGAAAATTTTCCCGCAAAAAGTATCTTTTTTCTAACTTTTGTACAGAAAAACAAGCAAAAAAAATTGAATTAATTATCATTAAATATAATGGAATGTGTATAATTAAAAGGTATATATTTAAAAAGTTTATATATGGAATTTATTTACACGCAAATTGCACGCTTCTTAAATTTTTAAGCCATAATTTTTTAATAAAAACCTGAATATGATGAAATATGAGAAATAGGGGGAAAATATAGTTTTCAAAAAAATTGTTTAATTTTTGAAGAAACGCCGAAAAAATGCTCGAAAATGATGAATTTTTTTGAGGGCTGTCTTTTGGTTGGTTTTATAAAGTTTTTGTAGTTCTAACCTCAAATCTTTTTTTTTTGTTGTAATTTTGAACAATTTTGGGAATAATAACATCGAAAATTTAATTTGAAACTTACAATAAGGCTAAAAGAGCGAAAAGTGAACGAAACATAACTTTTGAGGTTAGAATTTTAAAAATCTCATAAAAACAGCTAAAAAACACTTGAATATTCCAAAAAAAAACAATTATTATTCAAATTATTTCTGATATTTACTGTGAGTGAATGTAAACGGAGTTTTTTAAAAAGGACAAAAAACTATTATAATTAAAAATGTGAAAATCTTCAACGCAATTCATCTATTCTGATTTTTAATTTCTATGGAAAAGTTTTTGTGGATTTTTGTTATTTTTTTAATTTGAGGTTATTAATTTTTTTATGTTCCAAAATTGAAAAATTTAAAAATCAAGTGAAAAAAGTTCTAACCTCAAAACTTCAAAAAATCTTTAATCCAAAAATCTTTCACAATTCTCTCTTTTGTGATCTTTATGTAATTAAACATTAATTTTAAATCAAATCTCTAAGTTTTTTTTCTACAATCCAATTTTAAGAAAAAAGCTAAGTGAAAAAAAAACTTTCAAAAACTCCCAAAAAACGTGAAAAGATTTTTTGCAATATTGACGAGTAAAACTAGCTTTGAGTGTTAAAGAAAAATTAAAAATGACAGGAAAATTAAAAAGAAAATATTTCGAGTTAAAAAGCAATTAAAAACAATAAAAAAAGTCATATCGAAGTAAAAAATTCAATTTTTTAGGTAACAAAAAAAGTTTAAGTTTAATAAAAACTTTCATTTTCTCTTCCATCGCATCTCTTTAATGCATTTATGCGGTACAATGTTATGAGTGTCATTGTCCAATTTGTAATCATCACATTTTCAAGAAAAAAACCAACTTTTTGGATTATTTTAAATGTAAAAATAAAAAAAAAATCGATGAAAATTTTTATTATTATCAAAAAAAAAGCTTTTTGAGTTTTTATTTATTTTTTTTTATTTCAGAAAATTTTGGAATTTTTTTAATATTTTTTATTTTCAGTTGTGAATGAAATGCTCAAAGTTATAAACTTTTATTGTGGTTGGTAACGCTTTTAAATTTTAAACTTGAGTTTTCATTCTCTTTTGTTTTTTTTTTATTATTAAAGTTCATAAGATCAAATTTAAACTTTTCAAAAATTAAAATCCCATGTACAAAAATTCTCGAAAAAACCAGCAATTTAAAAAAGTCTCAATAAATCTACTTATTGCCTCATTTTATAGCATAGAAGAAAAAACATTGAAAATTTTGTAAATCAATCAAGCCGTCGAATTTTTAAATTTAAAAAAAAATATCCACCAATAAATTAGTCAAAAAATATCATCAAATAATCATTTTTCATACAGAATTTAAATCAATATTAACCTGCAAATTCATTGTTGTTACTCATCGTGTCCGTGTTAACTAGAAAAATAATAATTTGACATTTTTTTTGTTTTAATAATTTCTTAATTAATTACCAATAAAAATAACCTGAAATAAAATAAAATATTTGTTAAGCCGCCAATTGTATGTAATAATTATGTGTTTACTTCCTGTATCTCTTTCTACTTATTAAAGTCCAATTAATCAATAAAATAAATAAAAACTGTAAAAATGTCCTATAAATCCTGCATTTAAGTATTCGATAAACATTGATACCTGTATGTGTGAACGCATAATAAATCATAAAGTTAAGCCGAGTTTGTAAGCAAAAAAAATAAAATTTTATTTTGTTAAGTTAAATGCATTTTTGATGCTTTATCCTCAAAATTACAAAATATGATTTTTAAAAAATCTAATTTAACGAAAATTCAAAAAAAATCAAATTTAAACAATTAAAATAAATACGACAGAAAATGTAAAAATAAACTGCAATTTTTAATAAAGGAAGTGTTTAAACGTCAACATATCAAATGT